ACCATGAGCTCCTGGGCCCCATACCATTATCTCTCACCGTATCCTCTCTCTGAGCTCATTCCCAAGGGACACAGTGGGACACATCTTAACTCCACCTTTGGTAAAGCACTTACATCTTCTGGGTACCATGTGATACTATGGGTGTGTTTACTCCATCACTGTTCCCATTCCCAGTGAGGAAGCTAAGCCAAGGGCAGGCGAGAGGCAGAGTCTGCATCTGTCTGGATTCCCGGTGGGCACTGGCTCTCAGGCTTAGACTCTGCCTGCTGGGCCAGCACAGTTTCTATGGTTCCTGGGAGCTTCATATAGACCCAAGGGTGCCTGTGAGCAGGAGCTCTAAGAGGTGCACCTTATTCACAAACCCCCCGTGCTCCGATAAGACCGTGCTCTGTGTCCATCTTTCCTTAGGCCAGATCGCTCATGCTGTCTTAAACACAGACTGGAGTAAAATGGATACTTTCAATCCCTGTTTGGTGTGGTGCTAGAGGAAGTGAGTGGCCACAGTTTATTAAAAATGTAAAAGTAAAGGAAGACTCATTGATTTCTCTGGCATTGGAGAGCTCTGACTTTAAGGGAGCCAAGCAGGCCTTACGGCTCTTCCAGGAGAACACCTTCAGCCATAAGTGGGCACTGCCTGCAAAACACCTGGGGCCATCAGATGGGTGTTGGCACCCTAATGGGCAGCCCTCTGGGAGGTGGCTGTGTTCTGCTCATGGGGTGTCATTAGTCAGGGCTACACTGGTTCAGGGAGGATGTCATTAGATCAGTTTTCCAGGGCTGGGGGAGGATGTCAGCAAGGGGCAGGGCTGAGTCTCCCAGGTTCCTGGTTGTTCACTGAGCAGTACAATACAGCGCCATGGTGCTTCTTGGTCTTCACAGACGGCTGAGTTTTCTGATATCAAGATGCTCCCCAGAAGATGACAAGAAGGGTCCTTGAGGGTCCAGGACCCTGGAGAGTGGAGCTGGAAGTGGTCATGGGCATGGGGTGGAGGACTGGGTGCTCAGGGGCCCTGGGGGCAGTGGTCAGAAACAGTTGGGAAGCAGCAGGGGATGGCCAACAGGAATGTGCCATGAGAATGTCTAGTGAGATGGGGCGGCAGGGACAGAGGGAAGGTCAGGGTTCTGTCCTTCCCCAGGTGGGGTCCTGGGAGGACTCAGAGCCTGTGGTTAGAACTCTGGCTGCAAGAAGGGCACCCAAATGCTTCTCCAGTGTGTGCTGGGGCATCCGTCTCTAACGAGAGGGGAGAGGAGGCGGCATTGGTGTCTCTGCAATGGATAACTTGGGCCAAGGGGAGTGTGACAGTCCGTAGACTGGCTGAGTGACAGAGGAGGAGCTTACGCAGCTCAGGGTCAGATGTCAAGGGCCCACATCTGGTGATACTCACTCTGCAGGCAGAGGTCTGAGGTGGTCCCAGGCATCCTACATGGAAGGAGCTGGAGCACACATGACTTATGTTTCCCTTGCCTACAAAGCCACCAGGACTGACTGTGGGTTCTTCCTTAGTGATCTTACCTAATCCTAACCCCACTGTCAGTACACACAAACACACACACACACACACACACACACACACACACACACACACACACACACACACACACACACACCACGGCTGTATTTAGTTCCTATCTTCTTCCTGCCTCTTAGGGATTAAACTCTTAACACATGCCACCTTATGAACACTTCATCATGTCTATACCGACACAAAATAGCAAAGGGCAGTGAATAGACAGCCCAGCCACTGGGGGCACACCATGGCAGGTGGAATTTAGTGCCTTGATCTGGCAGGTTGCAGAAGCCTCCTGTCACCATCCTTGGGGCCCCTACATTTAGGGGTGGCATGGGAGCAGAGCCAAAGATAGGGGCGGGGAGCCACAGTGGATCAGAAAGGCTGTGGTCAATGCTCTAAGGGAGAAGGAGGGAGACTGCCCAAAGGTCTTGGTCACCTGCCGAGGGCCCTGGTTTTGTTTTGTTTTGTTTTGTTTTTTTTGTTCTGCATACTTTAAGATTTTATTTTTTTTTAATTTTTTTTTTTTTTGATTTTTTGAGACAGGGTTTCTCTGTGTAGCTTTGCGCCTTTCCTGGAACTCGCTTTGAAAACCAGGCTGGCCTCGAACATCACAGAGATTCGCCTGGCTCTGCCTCCCGAGTGCTGGGATTAAAGGCGTGCGCCACCACCGCCTGGCTAAATTTTTTATTTTTATTTTGCAATACAATTCAGTTCTACATATCAGGGTGTTTTGTTTTTTTTTTTTTGGTGGGGGAGGGTTGAGCATGTGGGAAGACTGGTGTGGGATGGCTACCCACCAAACCCACAGTTCCCCCAGAGTTTTCTTGAGTGAGAGTAGCAGGAAATATTAGATAGAAGGATTTAGATTGTGGAGATAAACAGAAAATACAAAATAGCCTCGAGAGGACCTGGAACCTATTCCAATGAGCCCTGACTGTCTCTGCCCCAGGGTTTTTATAGAGACGCCAAGGGGTGGAGCAAAAGACCTCCTCCCCCAGCACAGCCAAGTGCAGACCATCTCAGACACCTGCACTCAGGCCCGTGGTCCAATCATCCTCTCTATGCGGACCTGCTGGGTAAAGCCATGAGGAACCTGAAAGTGGGCTCCCACAGACTGGGAAGACCCTTCTCTGAGGTCTTTATTGTAGAGGAGGTGGGTGGCCAGGAGAGTGACTCGTGAGCTTCATACATGCTTTTAAGATACAGGTGGTCCCTCACACCACCTGATAACTTCCCTGCCCCACCCCCACCCCTGTGCAGCCTGTCCACCTAGCCTCAGGCTCCTTCAAAGAGAAAAGTGCACAAGTGACTCTTCAGTCACTCACGTACAGTGTCCTTTCCTGCCTGGGGGTCCTAGCACCCTAGAAAAACCCTGGGCTGCCATGCAGCAGGGTACAGTTTTGCACTGGGCATAGTGCGGTACACCAGGGCACTGTAGGGACATGGTGGGGGTGTTATGGATAAAGTGGGGTGCAGAGGTGTGTTAGAGCATAGTGGGTATGCTGAATGATGTGGGGCGTGGAGCTCGCTGGTGTACAGTGTAATATGTGGGGCATAGCTGATGATGTATACTGGGACAGCAAGGCGTACTGAGGTACAGTGGGGGATGTTGGGTAAAGTGAAACTCGGAAGTGTAGTGGGATATGCTAGGGTACACCACCCATTAGCACTGGGTTGGCCCCTCCTTGCCTATGGGAAGCTTGCTGTGCAGTCCAGGGTGGACTCCAATAGTGCCCTGGTCCAAGTGAGGTGACCAGGCCCTTGGGCCCTCAGGGAACTCTGACAAGCAGAGTCACTGTGACCCAGACCACTCCCTCAGCCCACGGACAGGACGCACGGCAAAGCTGCTGTGCACACAGCGGTCTGAACTCACCAGGCTTCAGGGATGGTGATTTGATTTTAAAATATGTTTTTATTACCTGCACTTATTTATGTATTTGGTGTGTGCTTGTTGGAGCATGCGTGTACCACAGCAGGCATGTGAAAGTTGGTGATAACTTGCAGTGGTCAGTTCCCTCCTCCCACCATGTGGGACCTGGGGATCCAACTCAGGTCTTCGGGCTTGGTGGCAACTGCTGCCACCCACGAAGCCATCGCACTGGCCTGATAGTGACTATTTAAAACACTGGAGGCTGCAGGGATGGTCAGCCCCAGCCAGACACTGACATCCAACTCTCCAACTATCTGGACAGAGCTAGTACCTGATCAGAGGGAAGAGGTGATCAGTGTCCACCCACCCTGGGCTTGGTGCCGCCTTCCCCGGTAGACAGTAGCAGTGACGGGGGAAGGGTAGAAACAGGGATCGAAGCTCATGTTTGTCTCCTTTGCCCATAGAGAGGCAGCAGCCTTCTCCATGCCCTGCAAGATCCTTCCAGGCAGCAAGACAAGCCTGCAGGACACACTGTCCCTCTGCCCTTCTGACTTGTGACCCTATACCGTGCTATGGTCCCCGGTGCTGTGTCCCACCTCATTCCTTCCTGGGGGAGTTTCAGCCTGGTTTTTTTTTTTTGGGGTGGTGGTGGTGCTGAAGTTGTGCTGGTAGGAGCCACATGTCCAGGGAGCCCTGTGTCCATCACAGTGAGCCATGGACCACTCTAGGGCACGTGATTGCCCTAGTTCACAGAGGAGAATGCTGCAAGCTGACTACACCTGCTCAGGAGTCCAGGCTCCAAACTCGGACTCCCACCATCCTTCCTGCGTCAACACTGGCGTTTTCATCTCCTGCTCCTGAGTGGGATGGGTAGGGCCTAGGATTATGTCTGAGGCTCGGGGATTCAGAACAGCGGCTTGTCTTCTCTTAACCCGAGTTATTCTCAGTGAACACATGGCTCCTCCTGGTGTGGCAACGGGGCATAAGTGAGTAGTCAGATGCTCACTTGCTGTTTACTCTGGGTGATCTTAGGACCTGTGGGAATCTAAGTGTGGCCACACCTCAGAGACTGGCCTGTGTGTGCAGTGCCATGGGAGGGGATGGATGGAGATCAGGTCCACAGGATGACTTGAGGTGCAGCTCACGGATGACTACTTCCTGCTGGCCCTTCTGACCATCCCCAAGATTATATTGAACATAGGCCTCACAATACAAACCTTGAAGGCCACCAGACGTAGTGACTGTCAGCTCCTGAACATTTTACTAAGGTTTGAGTACCCAATGCTCAAAGCTCCATGGGTGCTGTGGCCCTGATCTCCTTGGGGCCTGGAGGGCTCTGGATGCTGAGCCGATGGTACACCAGTGGCCGCAGGTGTAGCAAGGGGAGGCCTTGGGAGGACCAATGGCTGCTTCAGACACAGACCTTGATGGGCCAAAGTAGGGACATTTGTCTCCCCCCCCCCCCCCCCCCCCCCCCCCCCCCCGCCAAGTTCCTCTCTGCTCCTGTGGTTTGAAAGAACCCAGCTGGGCTTGGGGCTCTGGCTCTGGCTTGAGGCTCCAGCCCCTGCCTCGAGCCTGAACGCCCTGACCCCAAGCCTCAGCCTCCTCTCCTCCCTCAGGGTCCAGGTGGAATTCTACGTCAATGAGAACACCTGCAAAGAGCGGCTGAAGCTGTTCTTCATCAAAAACCAAAGATCCAGTGAGTCGGGGGCCTGGAGCGCTCTGGGTGGAGAGGGCTGGGCCCGAGGAGATGTGCCAGTTACATGGGCAGAGGGCAAAGGTCACCTTGGCTTCCCATTTCTTGACCTGTGGAGACATGCCCCCCCCTATACTGGACCCTGGGTTGAACTGGGCTAGGCTGCTCATAGGAGCCAGCTGGGTCACCTCCCCTGTGCCACTCCAGCCCACACCCTAGGGATCCCCACCTCCACGATTCCCCTTCTCCTTCCCAACTTTAAGCTTGGCCACTCTGGACCTACCCAGGATGCAAGAAGGGGCTTGGAGGTTAGGCTGTGGTGCCAAGTGTCCTAAATCTGTTCCCATGAGGGAAGTGCCCTCAGGGAATCCCCTGCACCTCAAAGCCCCTGTACCCCAAGCCTCTGCACCCAAAGTCCCTGTACCCCAATCCTCTGCACCCAAAGCCTCTGCACTCAAAGCCCCTGTACCCCAAGCCCCTGCACCAAGCCTCAGTGCCTCATCTATTCAGTGGTCAGAGAAGTCTGGGGGCATGTGTGGTGCAGACGCATCTGTCCTCTGCATCTGGAATGCAAGTGTGAGATGGAGGTCCATGCAGGGCCACTTCAGGAGGGAGCTGTTGAGAGACCCCAGCGGAGTGGGTGGGCCTGCTCCTTGGAGCTTGACAGCCCTGATGTCACCCTCCCCACAGGCCTGAGGATCCGGCTGTTCAACTTCTCCCTCAAGCTCCTCACCTGCCTGCTGTATATCGTCCGTGTCCTGCTCGACAACCCAGACCAGGGCATCGGATGGTGGGTAACCTGTGGGGCTGGGGCCGGGGTCCTGAGGCTGAACCTTTCCATTAAACCCCACTGGCATTATGGGCGTCTGTATGGGAGACCTATGACCAACGCCTCACCAGACTCCCAAGAAGTCAGTCACCAGAGCCTTGGGAGTCTTTTCTTCCCCTAGTGTGACCCCAACGTAGAGTCATGCCTAGAATGGGGACTGGGTCAGCATGAAGAGGGGGCCCCCCAGTGTGGTGCTGTGCATGCAGCCACAGTGTATGTGTTCCAACCACCTCGAGGAAGAAGGCCTGCTCTCAAGCGGCCTTAGAGGAGCCCTGGGAAGATGCAGGCTGGGGGTTCTTCCTCTGGTGCCTTCTCAGTAGTCCCCCCACTGCCTGGCTGCTTTGAGACATCAGTGCTGTTTCCCAGCCCAGATCCCTGCAGGGTGCCTAGGGAGGCCTGGGCATGCTCCTGGTTCATCTCTGGGCTGGTCCAGAGACCCTCGGTGCCAGGATTGTCTTGAATTGTGTCCTGTGGGGTTCGGAAGCTGGGCCCTGGGCCACCTGCAGGCTTGTCACCCCTACCTCCTACTCTGCCCCTTCCATTCTCTCAGTTGTGAGGTGACACTCCTCCCCCAGGTCTGAGTTCCTGCATCCCTCTGAGGACGCTGTGCCCGCCCCTTCTCTTTGTTAGTTACTTCTGCTGGGACCATTTCTTTTGAACTCTGTTGGCCTCTAACTTGCATACCAGTGGGCTTGACAAGTGGGCTCAGATGGAACTCCTTAGCCAGAGCCTGGGGTTTGAATACCACTACTGGGCCATCTGTGAACCCTGCCACCATTGAGTTACCTTTGGGCTACTTGGAGCAGGCTCTTGTTGAACTGCAGGGGTCCTGTAAATCTCCAGACAGGAGGCCAGACCCAGGAGCCTGTGTGCAAAGTTTTACTGAATTCCTTATTTTCATCTGTTGCCCACTTTCAGGAAAACTAGAATTCCCCGAACAGAAACCCTCACATGCTATTGAGAACAAACCTTGCATCCCTGCACAGGTCAGAGGAGGAAAGAACCCTCTGTGGTTGTTTGAGGAGAAACAGAGGCTATAAGTGACTCAAACACTGTTTTCTGGGTCTGTTTCACCTTCCTCAAGTCCCAGAGGCTTCAGGACTTCTGCTCCCACCTCCCTAGAGGACCCAAGTCTGTTGTCTTCATCACCATCACTAACAGGGATAATGGCCTGGAGGGTGGGTAGATAATGGCTATTTGGGTGATGGATGAATGTGTGAATGATGGCTAGTGGTACACTGGATGGGTAGATGGTTGAATGGATAGATGCATGGGTAGTTGGATAGATAGAAGACGAGATGCTAAGTAGATGTTGGAGAAAAGGATGCATTAGTAGATGGATACATGAATGACAGATCAGGTGATGATGGATGCACGAACCAAAGATGAGATTATACATAGATAGACATATGGATGGATGTTGATGAGCGATGAATGGATAGTTGTTGGATAGAAGGATGGTCACAGGTAGATGGATGCATGGGTCATAGATCAGATGATGATGGATAATAGATAGGTGGATGCACGGACCATAGGGAGGTAAAGGATGGATAGGAGAGTGGTTGCTGATGAAAGATAAGTAGATAGATGTTAGATAAGAGGATGAGAGAGAGAGGGTGGGTGGATGATTCAGAGACTTCTTTGGGTACTGAGTGCAACAACCCCCAATAAAGCTCAAGTGAGAAGAGAAGAGGGTAGGAGCTGCCCCTTTCTGGGTTCTATGTGCGTGAGGTCCCTGTGGTAGCTGACCCTGGTGCTGGTTATGGCCTGGAGCAGAGCTAGCCTGTTGGCTGTGCCATACTATCTCTCATCAGCTGGTTCCGAGGTGCTTGGATATGCTTATCTTCGAGTGGCTTGGGGATCCGGGTCATTAATGCATCTCCTTGAGGTAGTAATGTTGTTTCTGACTCTCAGAACTATCCAGGCTTGTTCAGGCAGCTCTGACCTGCAGAGGGCGTAAGTGTCCACACTGGGCATCTGTGGTTGTGCAGAGTCCATCCCTGGAGCTTATCATCAGCATAGGCTGAGTCCTCACTTTCTCCTGAGCAGCATCTCACTGCAGGGCCCAGATCTCCAGACAGGGATGTGTTCTCTATGCTTCTTGTTTAGAGAGCCTTCCTACATGGTCACTGCAGGCCGGGCAGGCTCCTCATGCATTAGAGCATCAGCTCCAGTCAGGATATATGGTGGGCCCTGAGTGAGCAAGTGGGTGTCCTTTCCATTTACCCCGAGCCCATGGCAGCTCTGGAAAGGAGCCTTGGCGTTGGCCCTGGAGGTCTGTGGCTGGGCCAGTGCTTTTGTCTCTTCACAGCTGGGGCTGCACGAAGTATAACTACACTTTCAATGGCTCATCCTCCGAGTTCCACTGGTGAGTCTGCTCCTGGCTCCCATTCGTCAGGCCACACTGGGCTGGGCCGGGGAGGCGGTGGGGGGCGGGGGCAGACAGGTGTGATCAGTGGGAGTTTAACTGTCTGGCTCCGTGGAGCCAATGCCCAGCCTTAACCTGAGACCCATTAAATTCCCTGGGACGTGTTCAGCCGCACCTTTGTACCCTGGCTGAAGTCGGTGCCGAGGCTCTCCCCCATCAGAGAGGAGTAACTTAATGAAGCATATGTCAGTTCCACCACTCACCCCCCACATCTGGCCACTGGGCCCTCACTTGTCAGAAGAATGTCACCTCAGTAACATTCTTCTGGAGCCTGGAGAGGAAGTGCCCTGGCAGTTGTGACCCTGTTCCGGCCTCACCACCCTTCTCTTCCTAGGGCACCCATCCTGTGGGTGGAGAGGAAGATGGCTCTGTGGGTGATCCAGGTGAGTCCGAGCCTACCTCTCCTCCCAGTACCATGGAGGCTGCTTGTGTGGACTCAGTAAGGAGAGGGCTCGGGTTAAGTATGAGAGCAGAAGTCCCATGTTCAGCAAGCAAGGGACTCAGGCTCACTAAGAAAGCAGGGGACTTAGGCTCAGAAGGCAGAGACCCAGGTCTAGCAACTCTTACTATGGTTTTCCCAGAGACCACTGAGGGCATGCTTTCCCCGTGATCTCTTTCTCGGTGAGAACCTCTCCTTCCTGCTGACCCACCCTATCCTTACTGTCTTCCTAGGAAGTAGAAGTAGGGGTCAGTAACTCCGGCCAGCTTCTGAGGGGGTCTTCCCCAACCATGTCCCAGAGGCCTGGGTCCCTAGCCTGGAGGATCCCATAGTCCTATGCTGGTAGTGGAAGCTCCATCCCCACGCAGGGCCCAAGGAGTACTGCCAACTGAGCCTTGTCCCCTCACTGCCACCTCTGCCTCCTAGGGTGGCTGTAGTGGTGCTCTTCAGGTTCCCCCACCCCTCCTGCTTCACCTGCCCTGATTGTCCACAGGGTGCCCCAGCAGGGTGGAGTCTGGACTGCCCTCTGCCTACCCTAAGGCCTAGAGTAGCTGCCTGCAAGTCTTTCCAGTCAAGACCATCTTACCTCAGCAGCAAGGGTGCAGGCAACCCTGTAGACACGCACGCACGCACGCACGCACGCACGCACGCACGCACGCACGCATGCACTCCCGAATACCCAGCTTTGTTAGGACTCTGCCTGCTGAGTCTCTCATAGGTCAGGCCCTGTTCCCAGATCTACTGCAAGTCCCTCTGCTCTCTTCACTCAGGTCATTGTGGCCACAATAAGCTTCTTAGAGACATGGCTCCTCATTTACCTCAGCTACAAAGTGAGTTCCTCCCTGGCCTACCTTGCCCTGGTTCCCCACCGTGCCCTTTCTCCACAGCCCCTCCCCTAGCACCATGATCCCTAACTCGAAGACTGCCCACTTCCAACCTTTACCTCTCCCTGTCTCCCAATCTCCCAGTCCCCTTCCCTGACCCCGATTGCCCTGTGGCCCTGTTCCTGCCCCTTGCTGGCTCTGAAGTACCTCTGGCCCCCAGGGCAACATCTGGGAGCAGATCTTCCACGTTTCTTTCGTCCTGGAGATGATCAACACGCTGCCCTTCATCATCACGGTAGGTGAGCCCTAGCCCCAAGCTTGGCTACCCAAGCCCCACCTGACCTCTCCCCCACACACCACAGGTCTTCTGGCCACCTCTTCGGAACCTGTTCATCCCCGTGTTTCTCAACTGCTGGCTGGCCAAGCACGCGCTGGAGAACATGATCGTAAGTGAGATCAGCTCCAGAACAGTTACCCCACCTGCTGGTGGGACCAGGCAGTGGAGGAGACTGCATGCCACAGGGATGCATTCCAGTCCAACCTTGAGCTTCCTCTTTCTGTGAAGACATCTTTTCCAGGGCTGAGGAGGTGGGATAGGGTGTGCAGATGTGAGCGAGCGTAACCAGAACTGGGCCACAAAACCAGGGCCAGAAGAATGGGGGCCCCAACTACCCCCATGGCCAGCCTCTGCTGGAACGTATCCCTCTCCTCCTGTAAATGAAAGCCAGGATGACAGCTATCTCCCTGGCAGTCTGCCCCCTCCTGGCCGGTCCCCTTGACTCAGCCCTGTGCCAGCTGCACAGTGATATAACAGTTTTGAAGCCAAAGGTGCTCACACCTCTCTGCCCTCCGGCATGTTTTGACATCACCCAGGGCATGGCTCATCATCCTGAGACCAAGCTGAGGTCTGGGTGACCAGCACAGGGCAACGTTGCCTGTAGCCCTCCCCTGGGTTGGAAGTGTGACCAGGTTTGCTTGTTCTGCACGGGAGTGTCTGTGAGCCCTGCCTTCTGATGGCCGCATTCTCTGCAGAACGACTTCCACCGTGCCATCCTGCGCACACAGTCAGCCATGTTCAACCAGGTGCTCATCCTCTTCTGTACCCTGCTGTGCCTCGTCTTCACGGGGTGAGTGCCCTAGACATCTCATGGTCCATCCCATCAGGTGGCCATGGCTAGCCCACTCCTCGGGCAGACCTCAAACCTAGAAGATGTGACAAGAGGCAGTGAGAGAAGGGGCACAAAGCTGACTGTAGAACATAGCTCCAAACTCTTGTGTCCAGAGAGCAGGGATACAACGGCACATCTGGCCTGCAGATGCCCGCCCAAACTGACTGTGTTTGCAACTCTGGAGGGAACCGGCCCCTGGGCGGAGTGGGGGCCCTTTGGTTTGATTTCCATCTGAGAACAGAGTCTAGAAGCAGCCAGGGTCTCTGGGAGGATCACCTAGAGTGGGAAGCTTCTGGTCACATGCGCAGACTGCCAACTTCCTGCATCTGCCATAGAGTGGCCCTGCTCCATGTCCTCAAGAGGTCCAGTCGCCACCTGCTGTACCCCAGGCAAGGATGAGCTGGCTGGGAGTGGCTGCAGGGCCTGGGGTACAGGTTGGCAGGGCTTGGGGCAGCCCCACACCGTCACTGCCACGGCCACGCTCCTTCGCTGCAGAAGCACACCCCTCACCATTGCAGCCCCACCTCCTTACCACTGATTAGAATGAGCAGCTTTCCCAGGCTCGGACTTAAACTCAGTGCCAGTGGTCCAAGGTCCACCTGTGGGCGATGGGCATCCAGGCCTACCTAGCTCTACAACCTCAGTCAGTATCCCAGTGATCAGGGATGCATCACTTAGGTCCTATGTGACAGGGTCCCCAGGTCTGGTAGAACCTTACTCCTCTAGGAGGGGGGAAGGCCCGGTCTCCCTGTCCACAGCAGCTACCTCAGGCAGCCTTGTCTCTTACCGTTCAGCTCCTCCCATGCACGGCTGCAGCCCCTCCCCGCCACGGCTGCAGCCCTGCTCTTTGGATGTCTAGGACCTGTGGGATCCAGCACCTGGAGCGGGCAGGTGGGAACTTGAACCTGCGGACCTCCTTCTACTTCTGCATTGTCACTTTCTCAACTGTGGGCTTTGGTGATGTGACACCCAAGATCTGGCCCTCCCAGCTCCTGGTGGTCATCCTGATCTGTGTGACCCTTGTGGTGCTCCCACTGCAGGTGAGTCCCCATGCTCAACCCGGGGACAGCCAGGAGGCCGCTCCCTGAGGAGTGGCATAAGGACAGGAGGGACCCAGGGAGGTTGTGGACACGTTGGGAGGTCATTCCCAGGAGAGCACTGGGGAAGAAGAGCACCGGGAAGGTGCTCCCTGCTCTGTGGTGGGTTCTCCCTTGACTGGTAAGCAGCGAACTGGTGTTCTGCCCAAGAGCAGCCGGGGGGCACAGGCTTCTCCTTCCAGAGGGTCTTAGGTGCCCAAGTGACCCCCGTAAGAACCTATGCAGAGACACACTGTGGGGATGAACTTCACCCCCTTTCCCACCCACAGCTGAGCAACTTTTAGGACTACAAGGGGCAACTGAAGTGTCATTGCTGACCCTAAGCTCTGACCTTGGGCTTGTCCCATCTCTAGCCTTGCAGTGCTGAGCCCCAAGCCCAGCAGGCACCCCCTTACCTCTCCCAGAAGGATCTGCCTGCCCCTGCACTGCCCCTGTCCTGAGTAAGCTTCTCTGAAAGTCTGCAGTGTGCTGATCCTTTCACACATCAATGTCCTTCTGGGCACCACCACCGCCACCTGTTAGCTTCCCTGTGCCCAGATGCCAGTCCTGGAGTATTCTGCTTCTAGCTGCTGGTCTGTGAACTCGTTCCTTGCCTTGGTCAAGGGTCCTGCCCTTCTACAGGCAGTTGGGGTTTTAATGAGGTCTAATACGTTAACATTGACGTCTCTTAACATTTTCCTCTCTTACCTAAAAGGTTCATTCCCTCCCTCAATTGTAAGTCTGTTTTCTTGTAAAAGTTTAAGATTAGCTCCTCACATGGAGGGCCAGGCCCACCTGGAACAGAGCGTGTATGGCAGCATGGGGATGGGCCTGCCTCAGCCCCGTGCACATCCCTCCATCCCTCCAACAGCAACTCCATTCCTGAGGTTCTGCATAGAATACTCTGGAAGGTGTCTCCAACCCTCCCTCCTCCAGTTCAGAAGCCTCTTGGATCCTTGCTGCTCTGCGTAAGATTTCTAATTCCCAGGCCAAGCCTCTGGTAGTACCCACCTGTGGCCTCAGCCTTAAGGAGGTTCAAGACCAACTCCCCATGTGAGGATTTTTATGAGAATCATATAGACACACGTGGCAAGGACCAGGTTGTGGCTTATGAGGCCTTTAGCATTTCCTAGCAAGTCTCTGACATTTCTGGAGTGTTGCAAAGCTTGCTTGCTCTTTCTTTCTCTCTTTCTCTTTCTTTTTTCTTTCTTTCTTTCTTCCTTCCTTCCTTCCTTTTTATTTATTTATTTTTTATTTTTATTTTTTATTTTTTTTGGTTTTTCGAGACAGGGTTTCTCTGTGTAGTTTTGCGCCTTTCCTGGAACTCACTTGGTAGTCCAGGCTGGCCTCGAACTCACAGAGATCCGCCTGGCTCTGCCTCCCAAGTGCTGGGATTAAAGGCGTGCACCACCACTGCCCGGCGCTCCTTTTTATTTTTTAAGTGAGGGTTTGAAACAGCATCTCTCTAAGGAGTCCTGGAGCTTGCTATGTAAACCAGGTTGTCCTCAAACTCACAGAGATCCTCCTGCCTCTGCCTCAGGAATGTTGGGATGAAAGGCATGCGCCACCACACCTTGCTCAGAAACCTCACACTTTTGTTGTTTGGTTTGGTTTTATGCAGGGTGCAAAGCTCTTGTTAAGTTTCCTCAGGTCCTGTTGTAGTTCTGTCCTGTATAAACACTGCATTTCTGCTTCTGAGCTCTGCTAGTGCCGATGTCTGGAGTGTATCTCTAGCAAGCTATGCTGGTCACTGGTCAGCTTCCACGGGCCATCCCTGAAGTGTGACAGTCCACACTTCCTCTCCAATCCTTAAGCCTCTGAGCTCTCATTCTGATGGCCCTCTAACAACCTGCATAGACCTTCTTTTTCATCCCAGTTTGTGGAGAGCATTTTTTAATGATTTATTTATTTATTCCATGTGCACTGGTATTTTACCCAAATGTATGTCTGTGTAAGGGTGTCAGATGCCCTAGAACCGGAGTTACAGACATTCGTGAGCTGCCATGTGGGTGCTGGGAATTGAACCCTGATCCTCTGGAAGAGCAGCCAGTGCTCTCAACCACTGAGCCGTATCTCCAGTCCATAGATTTTTGTTTTTGTTTTTGTTTTTGTTTTTTGGTTTTTTGAGACAGGGTTTCTCTGTATAAGTCCTGGCTGTCCTAGAACTCGCTTTGTAGACCAGGCTGGCCTCAAACTCACTGACATGCCTGCCTCTGCCTCCCAAGTGCTGGGATTAAAGGTGTGCGCCACCACTGCCCGGCCCATAGAATTTTTTTAATTAAATACTTGATCAGTCCAATTGAGTGTTTTCTCCTTAAATTGTTAGGGTCATAAGTTTTATATATACAGCTTTTTTTTTGACACATTTAAAATGTATACAGTTGTCTAGTATTAACCAGCCTTGAATTCCTGAAACATGGCCTATGACATTTCATAGTGTCATGCTGGCGTCTGTTGAATTTTGTCGGGTTCTGTTAGCTAACCTTGTGTCTGAACCTGGACTGTGCTTGCCTTCATGGGTCATCACACCCAAGACGGCTCTGCTTGGCCCCTCTATGCTCAGAGTCCCTGGTCTGGAGTATGCGGGTGTCTCCAGAAACTGCTGAAAAGTGGCCACACACTGTGGACTTAGGAGCAGCACCTGTCCTCCACAGTTATGAAGGTCGTAGTTCCAAAATCTGGTGTCAGTGTCCTGGTTCTCAGAGGACTCTAAAGGCATGGAGTTAGCCCTGCCTCAGCTACCGGCCCTCGGTGTCTCTTGGCTTATAGATGAATCATTCCAAACTGTCTGCCCTGCACATGGCCTGTCCTCTGTGGCTCGCCTTCCCCCCCCCCCCCACCCCCGTCTCCTTTCTTCTTACTGGCACCCATGTCAACTTCTCCAGTGTGGGCTTTGATGGTACGGTACCCAAGATTTAACTGTCACAGCTCCTGGTGGTCATCCTGATCAAGATCATGTCAGGTTCCCAACCTAAAGGCTACACCCTGATCTCTACAAAAGCCCCCTTTTATTTTTCCAAATGAAGTCACATTCCTAGGTTCCAGGAGCATGTATCTTTTGGGAGCCCCCTTCACCCAATATAGGTCCTATTCTCACTACGCTGCCCCATCCTCATCCCCTCTGCAAAGCACCAGAATTCCGTCCTGCCCTCTCATCTTGTAGCCCACCAGCTCTTCAGTGATTCATCCACGATACCCTGACCCAGCAGAAGTTGAAGACAGTGCCAAAGATGGGTCCATGGACAGGCAACCCCAATCCAGCCATGCGGCTCTCAGCCTCCATTTTCTATCTGGACTCTCTCTGGATAACCCAGTCCCTTTGCCAAGTGAGGATGAGCCCCTACCCCTGCCCAGTAACCCCAGAGTCACTATGAAATGGAGTAGGACTGGAACTCTTCTTTGCCTTCTCGGAGTCCCCTCCATGGGGGCCTAGGGTTGAGTGTTTAAGACTCAATGTCCAAACATTTAGATAACAGGTGTTCTGGAGGCCGGGTCAGAACAAAGCTGCGGTGGGGCTAGTACTTTGGGAGCACTGGGAGTACCTGGGGCCCATTGTCTGGTAGTTCCCAGGGTTGTGGTGGCCTCCTGAGCACATCCTCCACCTTATGCCCATCTCCATATGACCTTGTGGCCCTTGTTCCACCTACAAGGACCCCATGGGTATTGGATTTAGGAGTCACCATAATCCAAGATGACCTCAGGTCAACAAATTACAGCCACAACCCCCCCCCCTTTCCAAATCAGCTCCCATCTTGAGACTCTGAGCAGTCATACACTTTAGAAATCACTGTTAATCCTTCATTAGCTCTCTTACCCCCTCACCATAGCCTGCAAGACAGGCACTATTCTTATACTTTCCAAGTGAGGAAACAGGCCTGAGAGAGGTTGGAAGCAAGCCTGGGTCGTCCAGCAACAGTGCCCTACCATGGACCACCTGCAGGGGGCCCCTGTGTTCCCCAACCCCAGGGTCTGGAAGAACCCAGCCACAGGTCTCCTGGTGAGGACCCATGGAAGTGGGATAAAGACCGTGAGAGTGGACACAGCAGTCAGGGCCTACAGCCCCAGTCCACTCAGAAATGGGCTAAAGCCATGTGTGGTCCTGATGCTCAAGATGGAACAGGCAGTGGACATCTGACCTCAGAGCCACATGCCCTGTGAGGCCTTGGGCAGGGCAGCTCACATGACCCAGGCAGATGTGAAGCTGGCAGTCCTCAGAACTCTTCCCACCCAGTCCGAGAGGACTCCACTGGCAAGGACTGAACACATGGCTTCCACATCAGGAACCTGATGCCTGATCTGGTCACTGTTGCTAGAGAGAAATCCCTAACTTCAATGCTGAGGATTTCCTAATACTGTCAGGAAAGCTGATAGGCGGGGCCAGGACTCTCATGTCGGTCCAGATGTCCAGAGTACAGGCTCTGACACCCACTACTGCTCAGGTAGCTTCTGAGGCCACGAGCTGGACTTCCCATGACCTGGGTCACACACCACAGTTTCTGACACGGCTTTACACATGCCATCTCCAGGTCCTGCTCTGGTCTCTGCTAAGGCTACTATCCCCATCACTCCCACATCCTGCCAGCCAAGCAGGCCGGCTCTTCCTCTCTGTCCTCATCAGCTGGCATTTCCACCCTGGACAGCCCCCCCCCACCTCCATTCCACTGCTGCTCCACAGCCTGCCCCACCCTTTGTCCCCCACTGGATGCCTGTGCCCATTGCTCCCTCTCCACAGTTTGAAGAGCTTGTCTACCTCTGGATGGAGAGACAGAAGTCAGGGGGTAACTACAGCCGCCACCGAGCACAGACAGAAAAGCATGTGGTCCTGTGCGTGAGCTCCCTCAAGATTGACCTCCTCATGGATTTCCTGAATGAGTTCTATGCCCACCCCCGGCTCCAGGTAAGGCTATGGGCACCCCTGGGGAGTCTCAGATTTCTTCCGGGCTCCCAGAGCAGTCACCTCCCCGCAACCCCCATCTCCCACCCCCGCTGTACAAGACTGCCACATGCTTGGGCAAGGTTCCTGAGCATTCCAGACCCTGGTTATCATATCCAGTGTGTGTGTGTGTTGGGGGGTGAGGGGGCGGTCTGTGGTGGTCCCATAAGGCCCTGGGAATGACACCATCCAGGAAACAATACAGGCTGGGGGGACAGGACCCTGCTCAGAGGCACTGACACAGAGCCTGACCAGCAGGACTACTACGTGGTCATCCTGTGTCCCTCCGAAATGGATGTCCAGGTGCGCAGGGTACTGCAGATTCCCCTGTGGTCCCAGCGAGTCATCTACCTCCAGGGCTCTGCCCTCAAGGACCAGGACCTCATGCGAGCCAAGTGAGTGCCAGCCAGGACAGCGCAGCCAGACCTGGGCCTGAGGCCACGGGGAGTCCCCACATAGAGGTAGGGCCATGACAGGCTAGCTTGGCACAGGGCCTGAGGCAGGCGGGGTTCCCAGGTGGAGGCAGGGCCAGGGTGGGTGAAATGGTCAGGGTCGAGGCCCAGGTGAGTGGGACCCTAGCTCCATCCCGACACGCTAGCCCCTGCTAGACAGCCTAAGAGACATGCCTGGCCCAGCCGTGCCCTCCTCTGCTGTGGTTCTTGCCTTGGGGCGACTTTCCCTCTCTTGCTCTGAGTCTGGGGATTTTCCCTGTCAGGTTTCAGGGAGCTTAAAATAGACTGGGGGTGGAAAAAACCGGCTGCTGAGAGTCAATGGCGAAGACACAAGGGCCGAGGGTGGCTCTTGATGTGAAGACAAGTTGACAGAGCGACTCGAGGTGACAGGGGTGTGCTGTTAACGTGTAACTGGAATGTGCTATTGCACCATCTGGAATTCTTCCCCCAAAGCCTCTCATGCCACATTTCCATTCCGGGAGGCTCCTGTACCCTTGGTTGTGTGGTCCAGGTGATGCAGGGCCAAGGGCAAACGGGACAAGGGCCCAGGTCCCTCATCCTGAACCCTGAGCTGGGGCTCCCATGGATGCAATCTTTTGGGGGCTCCTGCCCAATTCACATGAGACTGTACTTGCCTGTGTCCAGCTCTGGGCTGGCAGACAGGAAAAAGGAAGTGGCTGCCAGGCAGGGAGGCACCCACAGCTTTTGTGGAGCAGGCATGAGGCTTTACTGTCCTGCTTGTGAGGTGAAAGTTTCTCCGACTGGCTCTCAGCAGGGCTGAGCTGTTTCTGTAGCCAGTCTCCTGGGAACCCGGAAGGAGCTAGAAATGACCACCCAAGTCCAGGCTGCTGAGTGGTCAGGCAGAAGAGGGGACAGGCTCGATGGTCCAACACAGGGTGGATGGGAGCCCAGGAGACCAGCCCCAGACGCTCAACAGCGCCCATGTAAGGTCTACTTCCCCAGAACCTAGGTCATCAGCACCAGTGAGACAGGTCTCAAGAGGACCCACTCCTTCCGATCCTAAGCCTCTGACAGCAGCAAGCAGAGCCCAGAGTGTGGATGGATGTGGCAGAGTGTGGCTCAGAGTCCCCTCTCAGCCGCCATCATGTCACAGCTTGGAAACCCTGAATAGTCCCCACTGGTCCATTGGTATGTCCAGGACAGGCTTGGCTCACGAGCCTTGTTCAGCATCTGAGCTTGGACTCTGCTGTGGGTGTCCAGGCATCCTGACCTGCCCAGAATGTTCCAGGAGAATCTGGGGAGGCTGGGAGGCCTGGGGTGCACTGCAGGATTTGATGCTGGGCCATGTTGGGCCGGGCCTGACTACCGTAGCAAGGCCCTCTGCTGGGCCATCCTCCCTCACTTCACACACCCGGCCCCTCCCGACGTGACCTCCTCCTGGGGAGGCCCGCTGGGTCTGCGGCCTCGCTCAGCAGCTGGTGCTCCGCAGAATGGACAACGGCGAGGCCTGCTTTATCCTCAGCAGCAGGAATGAGGTGGACCGTACTGCTGCGGTGAGTTCCGGCACACTCCCCCCCAGCCTGCACTGCCTGCCTACTGTTAGCAGGAGGCCCCCCAACACCAACCACACCTCCCCCGCAGGATCACCAGACCATCCTTCGAGCCTGGGCTGTGAAGGACTTTGCCCCCAACTGTCCCCTCTACGTCCAGATTCTCAAGCCCGAAAACAAGTTTCACGTCAAATTTGCTGGTGTGTTTGGGGCCCTGTGACATGGGTGTGCAGGCTGCAAAGGAGCGGAGGGTGGGGGTAAAGTACTCCTCTCATAGGCTCAAGGAGGGTTCGCCCTTGGGATAACATGCCCCCCGGATCTCTGCATCAGAGAATGGGGAGCTACCACGGTGTAGCCTTGGCAGATGATCTGGCCTCCACCTGGGGCCGAGGTCAGTGGGAGCGGGAGCGGGAGCTAGAGGTGGTGTGGGAGCAAGAGCACTGTCTGATCAGAACCTCTATGGACAGGACCCATGATGGGCACCTGGGGGACAGGTGAGGGCCACCTGGGTAGAGCTGGGGTGACCCCAGAAATGCAGGTGCCCCTTTGGGACTCAAAGTGCAGCTCACAGAGGTGCTGAACCCCTAATGAGTTGGCTCTTCAGGCTGGGCTTCCAGGGGCACCAAGCAGGCGTGTCTTCACACATTCAGAAAGACCTGGGTGCTGCGGGGAGGGACCAGAGACAGCAGGGGCGGTGGGCCCTGACCCTGCAGTCCCCACAGACCACGTGGTATGCGAGGAGGAATGCAAGTACGCCATGCTGGCCCTGAACTGCATCTGCCCGGCCACCTCCACCCTCATCACCCTGCTGGTGCACACATCCCGTGGCCAGTGAGTGCCCTGTGCCAGACCGACTACCACGCCCTGGCCGTCCCGATCAACCCCACAAGGCAGGGCGGGCTCCCTGGAGGAGGAGGGCATGTAGTGGGCAGAGGTCTGGCACAGGAAGGGGGTCCAGGGTGATGCAGGGTGCATTTAACCAATTGGGTAGGAGGGGCAGCCCTGGCTGAAGGTGACGGCCCCCTTACCCTGCTCCTCTGGTAGGGAAGGACAGGAGTCTCCAGAGCAGTGGCAGCGCATGTATGGGCGCTGCTCGGGCAACGAAGTGTACCACATTCGCATGGGTGACAGCAAATTCTTCCGGGAGTATGAGGGCAAGAGCTTCACCTACGCAGCCTTCCACGCACACAAGAAGTACGTGGGACTCAGGGGTTGGAGCGTGCTGTTCCCACCACCACTGGGCTGACCCAGGACCAGGTCAGCATGGGTGGGGCCCTGGGGCAGGAGGTTGCAGAGTCTCAGCCAAGGACAGAGTAGCCAGGCTTTGCCCACCTGGTGAGGATGGGCAAGTCAGGACATCCCAGAACAAGGCTTCATGTAAGAACCTGCCACATAGCCACCGCCCTCCTAAGGCTGCCCTCTGAAGCGTCTCCTAAGGCTGGCCTAGGGTCCTCAAGTCCCCACCGCCTGAGGGGAGGGCTGGTCCGAAAGGTCCCAGTGGGGTCCCTGGAAGGAGAATGAGTGGCTCAGGAGGGCAGCCTGAGCCACGGGGTGCCAAGAGTGGCCCCGAGCTCCAGGCCATGTCTGCTCAGGTATGGTGTGTGCCTCATTGGGCTGAAGCGTGAGGAGAACAAGAGCATCCTGCTGAACCCGGGGCCACGGCACATCCTGGCGGCCTCTGACACCTGCTTCTACATCAACATCACCAAGGAGGAGAACTCAGCCTTCATCTTCAAGCAGGAGGAGAAGCAGAAGAGGCGAGGTCTTGCAGGGCAGGCGCTGTACGAGGGACCATCCCGGCTGCCAGTGCACAGCATCATTGCCTCTATGGGTGAGCAGCTGAGGAGGCAGGAGGTCGATGTGTGGGTTCCAAGGGTGTGTTCCACACCCCACCTGAAACTGGGCAGGAGATCCCTGAGACTCAGCTCTTCCTAGGACAGTGTGAGCCTCTCTGGGCCTCAAGTTGTGGATCTGTCCAACTGGGGTTCCCCCCCTCACCTGCCAGGGTTTTAGTGAGCATCAGTTACCTGGGTAACTGAGAGCCTGTGGGGTACTGTGGTAGGTATACTACTAACCAGAGGCCCATGTAGTTCTATCAGCCCAGGGCATCCCTTGAATAGATGAAGGCCCTAGCATCCACCAGGTGTAGATTGTCTGAAGTTAACATCTTAGCTTCAGGGCTCTTCCCAGGGACTGCTGTCTTCCCAGAACTGGTTCAAGTGACCTCCTGATCAGGGCTGGTCCAAGACTCAGAAGGTGGTCCCTGTTGCATGTGTCATCCCCTATCAGCCCTCCAGGGGACAGTGGGGAACAGGAACAGGTCATTGAGCCCTCTCAGGCCACAGACCCACAGGTTATCCAGGGAAATAACCTGGTGTGGTGCTAGGCCCAAGCTGTGACTCACAAAACAAGTTAACACTAATAAGCACCCACTGCATGCCCAGCCTAAGTGGTCTCTAGGGACCCTGTGCTTTGACTCTGTGGTACACGTTCTCAGCCAAGTGTGACATGTGCCAGCAGCTGCCAGACTCTGAAGTTGTCACTCCTGCGATAACAGCTTCCCTGGTGGTCAGGTCCGAGAAAGAGCTCGGGGTCGGGGTTGCTGCTGCCCAGCCCAACCTCCATCCATTGCTTGATATTTGCGCACCCCCATGCCTGAGAGAGAGTGACTCAAGAAGCCCTCCCACCATCCCTCAGTTCTGGCCCACACAGGCTATGAGCTGCATCCTTGAGCTAGCCACCGACACAACCTAGCAGCAGCCCTGGGCTGAGGTGGGGGCAACAGAGACCAGCAGGTGCACAATGGCCTCGCAGCTCTCGTGTTACTGTGTGGCCACCCTCCCTAGCCCTGTCCTTAAAGCGGATCAACCAGTTTCCCATGAGCCCCAAGGGCCCCCCACCCTCAGGAGGTCAGAATCAGCCACAGCAACCAGTTTGGATGGGGCCCTGGATGGGGGCCCGTGGGGTCTACTCAACATCACCGCCACTCAGGGGTCGCCCTTGTCCGGAAGTGGAAACTGACTCGGGGATGTGCTGAAATTCCGAAGGCCGCACAGCTGGCCTAGAGAGGGGGTGGAAAGGGCTGCTGGTCAGGGTCCACCCCTCTGTCCAGGGACAGTGGCCATGGACCTGCAGAACACGGATTGCCGGCCCTCCCAGGGTGGGAGTGGTGGGGGCGGCGGCGGCGGCGGCGGCGGCGGCAAGCTGGCTCTGCCCACGGAGAATGGCTCTGGCAGTCGGCGCCCCAGCATCGCCCCCGTTCTGGAGGTGGCAGATGGCTCAGCCCTGTTGCCCTGCGACCTGCTGAGTGACCAGTCAGAGGATGAGGTGACGCCCTCGGACGACGAGGGGCTCTCTGTGGTTGAGTGAGTGCTGAATGGAGCTCTGCTCTCAGGGGGAGGGGAAGGTCCCCAGTGCTGGGGAAAGGGGCAATCCCTGCTCTCCGGGGGGGCCCCAACACACAGGGAATCAGAGCGGAGGTCCTTTACTTCACCCCAAGCCTAGTCCTGGGAAGCACTTGAGAGCGTGCTGGCAGGGGTGTACTAGGCTGGTACCCTCCCCTTGACCTTGGCTGGCATCAGAGATAAGGAGACTCACAGACCCACACAGTGGCATGTAGAAGCAGGGTGGGTGGTGGGGCAGCAGAGCCCCATACCTGCTCAGCCGCTGAGTTGTCTGTCCTGGGTTACTCCATGAATCGGTATAGAGCCAGGCAGTGACCCACAGACATTCCTGAGCTACCGTCATAGCTGGATCAGCTTCTCTTGGTACTGTGGGGTATGGCCCACCTCATTTCAGGTGGATATTCTTGGGGCAGGGTCTGTAGAAGTCACCAGCAGGTGATTTGGCAAGACCTTGTCCAGAACCAGAGACTACAAGCCTACCTACCTCAAGTGGCCATCCTGGCTGGGGTCTGAGGCCAAATCTTCCTGGTTGAGACCAAGAGGGACATTAGCAAGTCCTCAACAGTTTAGCTACCTTGACCTCAGTCAGGGCATCCTCCTGTTGGGAGCTGCTCTAAGGCTGAGGGGTCAGTGGTGGAACTCCCAGATCCTGCAGACAGAAAGTACATGGGTCCCTGTGGCTGTGTCCTTAAAGGCACATGGAAACAGAGCTAGAGGGTTGTGGCCAGGGCCCAGTGTCAGAGTACGGCGTGGTGTGTAGTAGGCACTGTGGGGCTGGGGGAGGGGAGGCAGCCTTCTGAGAGGCTAGTCTGGAAGCACAGGCTCGAGGTCCTGTCTTGACCTGCGGTGCCTTGGGCATCACTCAGGAGACTGGTGATTACGGCCCTGGTGTTCTCAGCTTCCAGGTCCCAGGGTGGGGAGAGAGAGAAAATATGAATGTGTGTGTGGTGTGTGACGTGTATGTACATGTGTGGAAGTGGCTGGGTATTGCTTGTGTGTGCATGTGTTTGTGCGCATGTACATGTATGCAAGTGCACACACGTGTGTATGTGTACATGTGCATGCATCTGTTCCTGTGTTTTCTTCAGTGTGTATGTGTCTAAATGTATGCACTGAGTATATTGTGTGTGGAATTTTCCTCCAGGGACATAAGGGATCCCATGGAGTACGAGCTGCCCTCCTGTCCCCCACCTGAGTAGCTGAGGGCTGATCGTTGGGAGGCTTCCTCACGGGCAGTGACACTCCCAGCCCTCCTTGGGTCCTGCAGAGGGAAGTAGCAACAAGTGGTCCCTCTGGACCCCACCTCAGCCTGAGCCACTCTAGGACCTTGGTGTACCTGTCCCAGCCCTAGCCTGGGAAGCAGGGACAGATCCCTGAGGTCTTGGCTCATGTGGCTGCCCCAGGCAGATATGGGGATCAGGAGTTGGGAGACAGTAAGCCAGCCATCTCTGCTAGTACCAGGTGACTCCATGAATATTCTAGGTGAAGGGTAGCTTTGAAGTGGCCAGGCCACCATGCCATGGTGCCATGCTGTCTTCATCCAGGTATGTGAAGGGCTACCCCCCCAACTCGCCCTACATTGGCAGCTCCCCGACCTTATGCCACCTCCTGCCTGTGAAAGCTCCCTTCTGCTGCCTGAGGCTGGACAAGGTAAGGCTGAGTCTCCGCAGCTGCACCTGGACTCCGCTGTGGCCACTGCTGTCCTGCTTTGGTGGCCATGTATTTTGGTGGTGTTGCAAAATTGAGCAGGAGCTGACCCCTCCCTACCTCACCCCGCCCGCCCGCTCTCAGGCTCCCTGCTCTGATCTCACAGCAGCCTTTTCCGAACAGACTGAAAGCAGATTAGGACCACCGCGCCCCGAGCCCCCCAACACCTTGGGTGTTTCCAGATGAGGAGGACTAGTTCTCTCCTCGTATAACCTGTCACCAGAGTCAGGCAGAGCCAGGATCTCCTGTCAGGTGGAACCCAAGGCTCCAAAGGCTTTGTCACTCTTTAAGTCAGCACATGCCTGTCACTCCCCATTTCTGCCTTCCTAGGGATCCCTTGTTGACCTTTGAAGAGCGTGATCCAGTGGTTAGTGTGACTAAACTTAATCCATGATAGAACCAGCCCATGCATCTGGGCTGAGCACTTGGAGGCCACATCTCTGGCCATGCTGTCCCACTGTGAAAGTGAATGCTTCCATGTTCAGTTACTGCAGAGATAAGGGCAGGATAGCTTCTAACCTGACCCACCCTGAATCAGCTTTCTTACTTCTAGATCCTTCCAATAGTTCTCATTAGCATGTTGCCAAGAGGAAAGCATCCTTGGCACTCAGGTGGTGAAGGCATATGGCCTCTTGTTTTACTCAGGACCCATACTCTGTTCCACATTGATGCTCGGCAACCTCTCACACTTCCTCACTATGTATGGCCAGCTACGGACTGGGACCAGGCACCTCCAACTGAGATCTGACTCAATTTAGGGAAAGGGGCTTTAGGAAACAGGATCAGATGCTGCTCGTGGCCTTGATTCTGGGCTCTGTGGTGGGCAGAGCTAGGCAATGCACTGTGTGAACACGTATCATGCACACACGCGCGTGCACGCGGACACACACACACAGAGGTGTGTGTGCACATAACTTGGCCCTCTGTATTTCTGTAGCTAAATGCTGCATTGGCTGGCTTCCACCAAGCTTTGTGAGCCACTGACTTTCGTGGCGGCCGGCAGGATGAGCCCTGGTGGCTGGTGGCCCCCTATCTCCCCAGGGCTCCCACGGGCTACACGTTGCATGTCCCTGTGGCTGTTGGCCCAGCAGCTTCTCCCACAGCCAGGGTGGTGCCCAGCCTGGTCCCCCACGTCCCCAGGGCTGCAAACACAACAGCTACGAAGATGCCAAGGCCTACGGGTTCAAGAACAAGCTGATCATCGTCTCCGCTGAGACGGCAGGCAACGGGCTCTACAACTTCATCGTGCCTCTGCGCGCCTACTACCGGTCCCGCCGGGAGCTCAACCCCATCGTGCTGCTGCTTGACAACAAGTGAGACAGTGTGCAGTCCCCGTGATGCCTCGCTTCCCGTGCGGGAGGACTGCTGGCCAGTTCTCTGCTGCCTTCCATGCTGGCAGGACCGCAGGGATTCCCAAAACAACAGCTCCTTTCATCCAGGGACTCCAGAAGCATGGCAGCCAGAGCCCAAGGTCCAGCCTTGGCTGTATAAGTCCAGGACCTCAGTTTCCCCTGAGTTGAATAAGCGGCAGACCATTCGGTCTTAAATCCTCTTCAGTCCCATGTTTTGGGGGCCCCAAGAGTGGGGGGAGGATAAACCATAGAGCGGGTGACACCTCCAGGCCCTGCTGTCCCCACAGGCCTGACCACCACTTCCTGGAGGCCATCTGCTGCTTCCCCATGGTCTACTACATGGAGGGCTCTGTGGACAAGTAAGATGAGAACAGCCATGGCCAGAGTGCCTGCTGTCCCTCCACCATCCTCCCCCAGAGGGGGAAAGAGAGGGGGGTTGAGAGGGTCTTAGTGGGGGCTCCTATGGCTGTACCCCTTGCCCCGTGCAGCCTGGACAGCCTGTTGCAGTGTGGCATCATCTATGCTGACAACCTGGTGGTGGTGGACAAGGAGAGCACCATGAGTGCTGAAGAGGACTACATGGCAGATGCCAAGACCATTGTCAATGTGCAGACCATGTTTCGGTGAGCACCTGACCCACGGGAGCCAGGGGCTTCATGGTAAGCCAGGCTCCACAGAAATGGATATGGAGCCACTGTGAGAACCCGTAGCCCCAACCAAAGGACCCAACACAGACCCCACAGCCCTAACCGTGGGACCTACAAGACACCCCACAGCCATGACCATAGGACCCACCATGGACTTCAGAGCTATGACCATAGGACCCATCAGAGTTCACAGACCTCCCCATGGGACCCACAAGAGACCACACTTCTATGACTACAAGACCCAACACAGATCCCACAGCCCTGACCACAAGATCTACCAGAGACCAGCACCCACAGCTGTAACAATGAGACCCACAAGAGGCCACCCAGTCATGACCACAGGACCCACCATAGACAGACTCCACAGCACAGACTCCCACAGCCATAAAACCCACCACAGACCCTCAGCCCTGGGACCCCCTCAGACCTTCAGCCTTGGGACCTTCTTAGACCCTCAGCCCTGACTGGAGGACAACTCCTCTGATCATCCCTCCCCCCAGGCTCTTCCCCAGCCTCAGCATCACCACAGAGCTCACCCACCCTTCCAACATGCGGTTCATGCAGTTCCGTGCCAAGGACAGCTACTCGCTGGCTCTTTCCAAACTGGAAAAGGTAAGTGGACCTTTCTTGGTGGGCCATCCTTCGCCAAAAGGCCCAAAGAGACCAAGGGCAAGGGGAGGGAGCAAGGCTGTGGGAGCATGGGCTTATCCTGCAGGAGCTAAGGAGACAGGCTCAGCTGATGCAAGGCTCTCCTTGTGGGGCTACTTCTCTGAGCACCTTCAAGTCAGTCATGATCCTCTCCAGGATCAGCCAGAACTGGTAACAGACACCTGCAACCCACCAAGTACCAGATACCGCCTCCATCCCAGACACTGAGGATCAGAGAGTGGGAAAAACCTCTTGCACTTCTGACCTTGGAGTTCCATGGGAGGTGTCAGCTCCATGGAGGGTATCATCAGCTGGGCCAGATGTGGAACTCAGGGACACAGGGACTCAGTAAGGCATTAGAGACACACTAAGGACCCAGGAACCCACTAGGAATATGGGGAACTACTATATGGGGACAGGTCACTGTCTGTGTTACTGATGTATGGTGGCTGCGACCCTCCCTGCCATCCACACAAGGGATGACGAGGCACTGGGGTAAGGGCAGTGGAAGCCGTGTGTTAAGATAAGGACAGCAGAGGCCAAGTGTGGATGAGGAAGCCACAGCTGCCAACGCTTGCTGTTCTGTGTGAGTCCCAAGTTCAGCCTGAGCCAGTGGCCTTGTGGAGAGCTGCTGGAGGCCAGCATGGCTGACTGTCTGGGCCAAGCCTCACTCCAGACATCAGGCAGAACAGACAAGCTTTCTTACTGCACATGCGCTCAATGCTGACCTGAAGCTAGGTCAAAGGGGAAGTGGCCCATGGGAGCCTGGGGTCTGGCTGAGCCAGAGAAGCCAGAGGGAGCCAGGTGGGCAGAGCCCCAGACAACAGTGTGGCTCCTGTTGTCCAGCCTACTCACGTCTCTGGACTCTGTCCTGCCCAGCATCTGGGTCCACACTGGGAAGGGTCAAGACATGCCTAAACGGTCAAAGGTGCTAGGATCATGTGAGTGGGCACTCAGACCACTGCCCCACAGTGTGACTGAGAGTAGATCAGGCTGGCGTCCAGGCATGGAGTCATCGTGGAGCCTGTGTCCCTATACACACTCACACCTGGAGCCAAAGCCGCTCCTCACAGGCAGCCTATAAATGGGTGAAGGCAGCGTACGCAGACAGTAACTGGCTCGCTCGCACAGCCAGGCCCTCTATGGCCGGTGTCAGCAGTGGAAGGTGGGGCTTTCATCCATGCCCTGTAGCATGGACCCAGTGGCTGGCCCCTCTCTGCATCCTGGACTTGTGAGCTGTTGTCCATCTCAAGGCCGTGAATGGTCCTGGGCCCATCACGTGGCTTTGTGACAGCAGAGATGACAAGGACACGCTGAAGGAGTCTGGACACCGTGGTAGTGAATTTGTGGATGCTGAGGGGTTGGGATCCACATTGGACGATGTCCTGGGCCCTGGGCAGACAAGATAAGGAAGAAGAAGAGGCAGGCTGCTGGTGCCACGGCTTCCTGGGGATGGTAGAATCCCGTCACACCCGCTGTTAGGGCCTGTGTATCATGAGCACCAAGCTTCGTAGGGCTGTCCACGCAGAAGAGACATGCGCACTCCCTGTCTGAAATAGAAGGGAACGTTCTGGAAAGACACTAACACTTGAAACCCTCCCTTTCCTTCCAATCTCTTGGAACCTGTAGTGTGGTCACTTCCTGTGGAGTGCTGTTCTTAGGAAAGCCAGTGGAACGCTTGAGTTACCACCGTGGCTCATCTTCCCAAGGTGCACGCCGTAGTGGGAAGGCAGGGGCCATGACTGCACAATTGTCACGTGGCACAACCACGGCTTGTAGCTCAGACATACGTGGTTCTTCACAGGCCAGGAAAGCCCGCACATCCTAGCCCCGTCATGTCTCTCTGACCCGTCACTTCCCACGACACTTGCCCTCTTCTGTTACTGGATTGCGGAAGGACAAAATGAGAGGCACGTTCGCCACTTGTCCTGTGTGCTTCCTTCTGTCACTGGGAAGATGTGACCGAGAGGGTTCACTGAGGGAAAGGCCAACCTGTAACTACTGCTGTTCCTAGCCGCTGGGACTGCGTGCCCTTCCCTGAAGCAAACTCCTTATGCTGTGGGAAGTGTCCTCAGATGCCAGTGCGGGCTGATTTAGGTCTGCACTCACCTGAGCTCCTTTGTGGATGCTTCCTGGAAGAGTAGCCTGGAAGAAAGCTTGCCTTCTTTCCCAAGCCTATGAATAGCCCCTTCCAGGCACAGGGACTTGGCAGATGGGACCATGCTAAGGAACTTGAGATGGAAAGCGGTTCTCCATGCCCACGTTGGCCCCACATAATCGTAAGAGGACATGACAGGCAGTGCATCAGAGACAGGAAGAAACTCCACTGCTGGCTTTGAGGATAAGGAAGAAGCCACAGGCCATGGACTCTGGGCATCCCCAGGAGCTGGGTAAGGTGGGGAAAGGGTCCTGCAGAGCCTCCCAAGGGCTCAAGGCCCAGCTGGCCCTGACTTCAGCCACTGGAAGCCCACGTTAGACTTCCGACCTCAGAGCCTTGAAATGAAGTTCTGAGCCACTAAGTCTGTGGCAATGTGTCCCAAAAAAACTCATACTGTGGATCATCAGCTCCAGTGCCTGGAACTTTGTGGACCCTGTGAAGAGCAGTAACATGTACAGCATACCCCTCCTGCTGACATGCTTCAGTGCCCCTGACATCACAAAATGTGATTCAAGATCAAATTGTTAAGAGTATTGAGACTCTCATGCTAGGGGTGTGGCTCAGCACAGCATGCCTGCCCAGTGTGTGCAAGGCCCTGGGTTCCAAATACGGGAGGTATCTCACGGGTTTTCTCAGAGCTCTAAACGCTCCCTAGGCTCTGGGCCTGAGTGTGCCTGGGGAGGTGTGGCTGGATAGTCAAGCCTGCTGGCCAGAAAGAAGTCTGTTAGTGTATGCACAGACACACATCCATGTACACATACCATGCACATACTACACATATGCACATGCATACATACCATGTACACATGCTCATACCACACATGCATACAAAATGCATGCAGGCACATACCACACATGCATACACATATACATACACATACCACACGTGGACACACCCTATGTGCATATCTTTACTCTGATGGCCATCCACAATTCCACGGCCACCTGCAGTCCTGTGCGCCATCTGAGGACCCCTTTCTTGCAGCGAGAACGAGAAAATGGCTCCAACCTGGCCTTCATGTTCCGCCTCCCATTTGCTGCTGGCCGAGTGTTTAGCATCAGCATGTTGGATACGCTTCTCTACCAGGTCAGCTGGGATGTGGAGGGAAGTAGGCAGGGTCCCATGATGCTTGGACCGGAGCCCACAGTTGTTCCCTGTCTAAGATCTGGTCCCACCGCTCTGGACAGCCCTCCCCAGGTCCTCTGAGACTTGTTCCCACTGGAGCAGCAGGTCTCACTGTCCTCAGGGGTCCCCTGGTACCACTCTAGGGGTTTTGGGGTCCTGGTCCTTTTTAGACTTCATGTGCTGGGCTGGCAGGCAGGTGGCTCCCGAGTGTGCTGAGGCTGGAGCATCTGCCTTACGTGGCCCTGCCGCCCCACAGTCCTTCGTGAAGGACTACATGATCACCATCACCAGGCTGCTGTTGGGCCTTGACACGACGCCAGGCTCCGGCTACCTCTGTGCCGTAAGTGCAGGCCGGGTACACAGCGCCATACGACGCGGGCCTGGCACCGCCCTTGGGACACTGCTCCTGGGCTCTGGGCGCTGCCTGCAGCCCTTCTCAGTGTACGGCTTCCCTCTCATTGCAGATGAAGGTAACTGAGGCTGACCTGTGGATCCGTACGTATGGCCGCCTCTTCCAGAAACTCTGCTCCTCCAGTGCAGAGATCCCCATCGGCATCTACAGGACCGAGTGCCACGTCTTCTCCTCTGAGGTACTGTGTAATTCTATCAGTCCAGCTCTGGGGACCTGTGCGTGACTGTTTGCCATCTAGGCAGGTTCAGTGTCCAAAACACGTGCCTCCAGTGAGGGCAGCTGCCACTCTGGGAAGAATGGTGACCTTGGGAAGTATCCCAGACCTCCAGGGGGACTGGGTGGGGTTTCAGGGGAGGTCTGGTGCAGCTAGTCTACCTGTGTGGGCAGCATGCCCCCCTACCATCCTGCCCCTTGCATGCTCTGTATGGACTTTGAGAAGATACACGGGGTAGGGGCAAACCCACCCACAGGTCCCACACAGTCCTTGGTTTCCTTTACAGCCCCATGACCTCAGAGCCCAGGTGAGCACTCCTGGACCCCATGTGGAGTTTCCGCTTCCCCTGTGCCTCATGGATTCTTCCTTACCTTGATCAGGCCCCTGGGAAACAGGCAGGAAAGGAAAATGTATTGGCCACTGGGCTGTTCGGGGTGGGGGTGGGGAGCTCCCAGTAATTACCATCCTCCTATATGATGGGGAAATCACATGGGATTACCCACATCAAGTGTACCCCTCACCCCAGCCCAGCTGCATGCACCATCAACAGGTTCCACCGCAGCCTTCAGAGCAGCAGGTACCCCTATGGGCTGGTCTGACCTCCACACCCTCATTATCCCTCCCAGTCTCTCTAAGGCACTACCTAATGGGGTCCCCACATTTTCCCCAGTACCTCACATGCCCACTCAGTCATGCACAGCCTACCACACCCTGTCTGTTTGCACTGACTCCCAAGGATGTGTTTGATGGGGATCCCTGTACCACCTGCATATGGGGAAACTGTGGTATAGATAGGGGCCCCTATGCTAGGGCAAAGCCAGGATATGCCAGACCAGAGGGACCAGCCAGACCCATAGATGTGATGGCCTGGATAGACTAGGGATCCTCTTCCTTGGGGACAGGCTGGCTCCATCCTGGATCAGACTTTGAGCAAGGCCAGGAGGCCAGGCAGATTAGGGTACAGGTGGGAACACAGGACCCCACAGTCTTTCTGGCCTGGAGAAGGCTGGTGTTCACACTGTGGGTCCAGAGCCCATCTCCTCCCTGGTACCTGAAGGCACAAGACCCCAGCCCATAGCCCTCCTGCCTGCCCAGTCCCAGATCTCGGTGAACATGGAGGACTGCGAGGACACTCGGGAGGCCAAGGGGTCCTGGGGCACACGGGCTGCCTCTGGCAGTGGCAGCACCCATGGCCGCCACGGGGGCAGTGCTGACCCAGCAGAGCACCCACTACTGCGCCGCAAGAGCCTGCAGTGGGCCCGCAAGCTGAGTCGGAAGAGCAGCAAGCAGGCGGGCAAGGCACCTGCAGCCACAGAGTGGATCACCCAACAGCGGCTCAGCCTCTACCGACGCTCGGAGCGCCAGGAGCTCTCAGAGCTGGTCAAGAACCGGATGAAACACCTGGGGCTGCCCACCACTGGCTATGGTAAGGGCAGGCGACAAGGCGGGGCAGGTTGGGCCATAGCAGAGCAGCTGATGGGCATCTCCCATCTGCCTGACCCCTTCAGCAGGCATGGCTCCAGCTCCACCTGGTCACTTGGGCCTGCCCAGTGAAGGGCAGAGGAGTGTCTGCACCCACCCAGAATGGAGAAGGTGCAGAGTGACCCACACTGGCTCACTTCTACCACTCTGGAGCCTCAGTTTCCCCACCAGAAAGTAAGGGACTGGACCCAGAAAAGGAATAGAGTGGCGAGCCAAGCCAGCTCCCCAAAAGCTCATGGCCTTCATTAGGTATACAAGTCCAGTCTCCCCGTTTCATGAGAGACTTGAAAGGCAAGGAGTTGGCGGGTCCCTGGCCAGGGATAGGGCAGGGGACAGTCAGGAGGAGCAAGAATGACCACATATTCCTCTGTCCATCCCACTGTCCTCCCCAAGGCAGTCATCACATTTCTGTTGCTTTAGAGTTCCTAGGAGAACAACATGCAGAACAGAATTCTGTAACCCCCTTCTCTCCGTGCCACTTTTGGGTAACATCTATGTGACTTTGACCAGGCTGCCTCTGCTGATGAGGTCAAAGGGGGCCCAAGATCTCTATTCTGGCCTGTGCCTCCCCGGACTCTTTTAGTGTCTTAATACTCAGTCATTGCCGAGGCCCACCCACCATTGTGATGGGGCCCTAGAGATTCCTCCAAGCAGAGGGAGCTGCCCAGGGGTCACTGGGGCTGAGCCATGTGCTGGCCATGTATATTGGGCGTTCTGGGCATATTCACAAGGCGGGGCTAGACTTCCTTAAGGGGTAGGCCCGGGGAAGACAGACCAGGGTTTTGAGAATATGACGACCCCAGAGCCTTTCCCAGCCATCTGTACACAGTGTGGAGTGTCCCTTCAATGCCCTAGATCTAGTGACCTCATCAGTACCCCAGCCTAGGTAACCCATTGTTCCGGGGAACTGGCCACCGAGGCTCAGGAGATTCCAGCATTCATGAGCTATGGCAAAGACTAGGAGATACAAAGTCCAGCCCACGTGGCCAAGCTCAGCACTGGCACCTGCCCTGTGTGCCTCTTAGCCTCTGCAGACCCCCCTACATGCCAGTGCTTGGCAGAGAAGGACCAGATTCCCTTTGGCAATTGACTTGCTTCTGAGGTGGCTGGTGCTGGCCACCACAGTCCCGGTGTGGACGGTGTCTGCGTGTAGCTGGCCACTGCCCTGCATTCTGCTGTGCCAGCGTGCCCACCCCGCCATTGCTTGCTGACCTGTCTCTCTCTCTCTCTCTCTTTCTGTCTGTGCCTCTCTTATGTGTTCCATAGAGGATGTAGCAAATTTAACAGCCAGTGATGTGATGAATCGGGTAAACCTGGGATATTTGCAAGGTAATTCTGCTCCAGTGGAATACTGGCCACCACACAGGGGATGTGCCAACCCTTTGCCACCTTGGCTGGGCTAGACAGTGACCAGGAGAGAATGGAGGGACTTGTGTGTCCACAGTGGGTTCTCAGACCTTCTATCTTCCTCCTTGGTTGGTTCCGGCTGAGAGCCATGGGAGTCCTCAGATGATGGTATCCACCCTGACCCCAGGGATAACCCCAAATACTTTACCCAGCTCTGTTGTTAGGATGTGCCATGTCATCTAGCTTTGCCCTGACTAGGCAGCAGGCCATTTCAGCAACAGCTGGCCTCTCTGGCTAGTCCCACAAGATGCCCAAAGTCCCTGGGTGTCTTAGTGAGCCTCCTGTCAGACATGAGGATAGAAACTGGCATTGCACTCTGTGCCAAGGCATAGGCAGGCTTGAACTACCCAAGCCAGGTAGACTTGGGCTTCAGGAGAAGACTCTTTCTGTCTGCTTGAGACAGAGCTCTACTCACTTCTCATCTGCATGCTTTAATGCTGCTGAGCACCTCCTCCAAGGAGCTATCCCACACCGGAGGCCGGTCAGAGCCCAGAGCAAAGGCTAAGCCACCGCCTTTGGCGCCTCCCCTCCAAACAGGTTTTCTGGGAGCTTTAGGGGTGTCTGGGCCCAAGTAGATGTCAGTTTAGCTGGGTCCTTATTTGCGAGGATGGCTGTGGGCAGCCACAGAAGCGAAGTGTTGGCATCTCCGGGGCTGTGGTTTTCCTCCTTCTACCACCCTGCCAGCATTCATGGAAACCGGGCCCTCTCCTGGCCACTTGGGATTCTGAGCTGGGCCTGGTGACCTCCATGAACCATGCACACCCTGCACCCAGCTACATCTGCTTCCTGTGTGGCTCCCAGGCAAAGGCGGGCAGGCGAGGGCTTGGGCAGCTCCTGCAGGGTCACAGGACGCTCTTGAGTGTTCACTGAGCATCACCTGTGTGCTCACTGGGGAAAATGTGCCGGAACTTGGCAACAGGGACTCACAGCACCCTATGCGCGGCATGGTGTGGTGTCAGGATGTGAGGCCAGAGTGTCACAACCTGCTCATCCAGGACAACATCCAGTGTGGGATTGTGCCCGGGAGCTCAGTGTGTATAGGAGGCAGGAGAAACCAGCCCTGAAGTGATTCTGGTTCTGAGATGAGCAAGCTGAGGCTCAGGTTAGAAAACTCTGGCTACACAGGGAAATGGGTATAGATGCCCAGGGCTTGGGTCTGGGAGGTACTCAGCTGGGGCAGGGGTGGGGGGAGAAGGTGAGGGGAAGCAGAGCTGTTGCAGAGGCCTAACCTGCTGAGAGTTTCCATTCTAGAAGCGCATTCAAGCCAGGCCATGTCCCCGTCCCTACCTACCCCTGCACCTGCTGTCTATCTTTACCAGCATGTGGATGCTGAATCTACCTCGGGGCTGTTGGCTTGCTCTCCCAGGCCAAGCAGTTGGATTCACAAGACTGACCACAGCCCCACGTTGGCATACCTGGGATTTGGCACGGCCCCCTCAGCTCAGCACCACAGAGGCACAAAGCCAGGCCTAGTCCTGCCCCCCCACGCGCTTTGCAAGTCTCAGACATTCCCAGATCCGCCCCTGGTTGGAGGAGAATGGTAGCCCAGGGCCCAGGCCTAAAGACAGAGGATCCAGTAGCTTCCTCTCACAGCCAGGGCTTCTGGCCCCCTGCGGGATGACTGTCTGGTGGCCCTGATAGACACGGATCAGTGGCTACGGTCTGGAGTGTTGTGAGCATGACTGAATGAATCCCCCTGCTCCTGTGCACACCCTGCTGTCCCTGCACTGCCTACCCCAGAGCTGCATGAGGGACTTGGTCCCAGAATAACACACCTCCCACTTGGCTCCCAGCATAAGCCACAACATGGGGGATCTTAACTGTAGGATTGGGAGGGGGAGCAAAAACTGATGCTCATGGGACAGAACAGTACCCCATATATGGAGAGTGGCCACCAGGCTGTCCTACCCTGAAGAAGTAGACAGAGATGTTGGCTCCATTTGAACTACCCCAGGTACAGACTGTTTGAGGTATAGGCACCCCCACTTCACAAAAGCATTCTGTGCCGTATTCATACCCTCATCTTGGGACTGCAGCTCTGAGAGCCAAGGCATGCCCTACCCTAGCCCAGTTGGCTACTTGGCAGCTTCTGCAATTTCATAGAGGGGTCAGCTACACCTCGCAGGACAAAGGATAAAGAAAAATGGAAGGGGCCAGGCAGAAGATGCCCTGTCCCAGGTCACCTTCATTTTGTATGTCCTTGGAGTCCAGAGGTACCTTTAAACACAAAGTGGATAAACTGAGACCAGCAAGCTCAAGGCCATTGCCAGCACTGGATGTGGCCATGGTACCCTGCTGGCCAAGCACAGAGATCAATGATGTAACTGGCTGCTTCTCCAGAACCACCCACATTCCTAGGGAGTTGCATTCTGTGGTCACCCTGGGGCTGTCGCCTGGTCTCTGTCCCTGAAGGAGCAGCAGCAGCAGAGCCACAAACAGGAGGGAAGGGCCCTGATCTCTGGTCAGTGAGACCAGAGTATAGGGAGTAGAGGTGGCCTGCCCAGTCCCAGGGACGGTGGCACCTGCCGAGCACTTCAGAAGGGTGATAGGAAGGCCTGAGCAGCTTCTGGACGGCATGCAGGTATATAGGTGTGCAGATGGTGTGTGTATGTTAGCTGTTGTATAGCTGTGCATGTGGGTATTACGGGAATGTGGGTGTGCCATATGTGCAAGTGATCAGTAGTGTTTATGCATACATACAGGGATATGTGCAGGTCCATGTATGTAGGGGTATGCACAGGTGCTTGCAAGTGTGGAGATATATATATATATATATATATATATATATATATATATATATATATATATATATATATATATATATATATATAGGTATACATAGGTATGTATAAGTGTACACAGTTATATATGCAGGTGAAGGCATGCACAGTTGTGCACAAGTGCACTCAGGTGTTATATGGGTATGTGTACATGTGGGCATATGCACCTGCCCATACAGCTTTGTAGGAAGCAGGCATGTGCAGGTGTGCTCAGTGCCTCTGCTCAGTCAGCACCCACCTCCTCCATCGGTGAGATGTCATCTCAGGTTGGCTGTCAGCCGAGCAAGCTGCCTGGGCGGGTGGGAGCCGGTGCTCGGCCATTCCTTTTGGCCGAGCCCTGCCCAGTGCAGGCAGGAGCTGAGGACAGGTGTGTCAGGGAGGGTCAGTCAGCATATGGCCAGAGAGGCTAGATGGAGAACTAGCTCCCCTGGCTCCCCAGGGCCCAGCAGGGCGGTACTGGATAGAGGTGGGTGATGCTTGGGCTATGTCCTTTGCAGACGAGATGAATGACCATCACCAGAACACTCTTTCCTACGTACTCATCAATCCCCCACCAGACACAAGGCTGGAGCCCAACGACATTGTGTGAGTACAAAGTACTGGCCCTCCCAGCATCAGGCATAGGGCTCCGGGTCCCATAGTTGGCACAGGTCTGGTGTGGCTGGTTACCTGACTTGCCATTCCGGGGCCTTCCTTGGTATCTTCTGCAGGTACCTCATCCGCTCCGATCCCCTGGCCCACGTGGGCAGCAGCTCCCAGAGTCGGAAGAGCAGCTGCAGCAACAAGCTCTCATCCTGTAATCCTGCGACCCGGGATGAGACACAGCTCTGAGCAGCCGAGAAGCCCAGGCTGGGACCGATAGGCAGACACAGAAGATCACAGAGGGGGATTGTCACACGCTGGCATGGCCCAAGCAGGCCGCACCACGACTATACAGTGGCTCTAAGATTTGCCTCGGAAAGGAAATCCTCTCAGTGGGGCCAGTCATGAGACCACTGGACCACCTGGAAGCTGGCAGGAGGCACTTTTTAAACCTATTTTTACAAATATGTATGATTTGCATCTCTCTGCATAGCTGTACCACAACTCGTGACTTGGGTCTGGCCAAGTGTGAGGCTGGCAAGCAGAGAAGCGACAGAGCAGGGACTGGACACTGCCCTGGGTTCCACTGTCTTACATGGCTTCACTCAGTAATTTCTGAAGGGGCGCTGGGGTGTGTGGGAGAAGCAAAGACCTAGAACTGGGGAGTCCCCCTGCATGGAGGCCATCTGTGTTCTCTAGCCATCCAACGCCTGTTCTGATCAGAGCTTCTGCATGGCTCTGAGACGGCACCAGGGCCTATGAGCTGCCTCTCCCCAGAACCAGGCAAGGGGCCAACCAGTGAAGGCACCATGCCCTTTAAGAGGAGAACAGAGGAGGGGCTTGTCAGGAGGCCTCATCCTGAGCCTGAGCTCTGCAGCCCCCTGCATGGAGTGGGGCAGGGGCCACCAGTGTATCCTCAAGGAGTCCTGCAGTCAGCTATGGCTATGGAGGGAGTCCTATGGTCATGGCTATGGAGCCCTGCGGCCATGGCTATGGAGCCCTGTGACTGTGGCTATGGAGCCCTGCGGCTGTGGCTATGGAGGGAGTTCTGTGGCCGTGGCTACGGAGGGAGTCCTGTGGCCGTGGCTACGGAGGGAGTCCTGTGGCCGTGGCTGTGGAGGCTGAATGATGTTTCCAGCTATCACACTTGAGTTTCCCCAGCCGTGGCGTTTGGGGACACAGGACTGGTAAACGATGCATCTCCATGGACCATTTCACACACTCAAAGCAAAGTCTTGTCTCTAAACACCTGATCTGAGAAGCACAATTAGCTCTGGGCTCTGGCCATGCCTCAAGGCTCCAGGGACTGCTCCAGGCAGCTGACTTCATTCTTGTTTGTGGTTTGTACGATCAGAACTGGAACCTTCTACTAAAATGGATATATCCTGCAGGCATGCATGGAACAAGGCAGCCCATCAAGGCTCCAGGACACTGGGTCTGGGAGACATCGGAGGCTCACCTGTTTTAGGGTTAGAATTGCCTCATGTATTTCCCTTTCCAGACTTCACAGACTAGCCCCCAACCTCTGGCATGGCCAGCATGGCCTTCTCAAAACAGTAATAAATCCTCTGTGGCTATGGGTGGCTGGGTCTGGACAGCTGCCCCAGGGTGTGTGTGTGTGTGTGTGTGTGTGTGTGTGTGTGTGTGTGTGTGTGTGTGTGTGATTTCCAGAGGACCCCCTGGCAAGCTGACAATCAGCCTCCCCCTATGGTCCAGCATGCCCCCTAGGTAGAAACAGCTCACCTAAGGTCCCAAACTCCTAGAAATCCATCTTTACCCCACCCTGGGGAGGAAGGTGCTCTTGATATGACTATGTGAACCTCCCCTGTGTGCTTTTGGGTGTCGTGAAAGGCTGAGGTGAAGAGATTGACCAAAGGGCCAGGCTCTCCCAGTCAGAGCAGGTGGGCAGGCGGTAGGGCAAGGCAGTTGCTGTAACCTGCCTGATAAGGTGCCTAGGACCACGCCTCCCCTTCCTGTGGCCTGCCTGCAAACCCAGCCTTCCTACCCCCACTCTTTGCCTGTCTGGGACCCATTTGCTCAGAAAGTGTACGTGAGCCCTGGTGAGGTGTTATGGAACAGAGTTGGCCGTAAGGACTCAGGGAAGAAGTTCTGGGGCCTAGGTAGAGAAGCAGGTGGTTTACCCTGGGCTAGGGTGGCCAGAACTCACTTAGGGTCTATCAGTGGCCATCACTCTGTAGCAGGAGGGCTCTGAGCCTGCACCCACATTCCATCTCCCTGCTCAATCACCCACCTGGCCCAGAGAAATAGGAGAGACATGCTGGTCTTCATCTAGACGGGGCTACAACCTTCAAGCCCATGCTCGAAGAGCTGCCACCTCGGGGGGGGGGGGGGGGCTGGGGAAAGCCACCTGACCCATATTTGGGTTGGGGTATTTACTCTCTTGTGCGTCTGCAGCATGGAAACACATTTTCAGTCTCTCAGCGTGTGTATGTTGGGGGGGTTCCCCCACATGTATAGGCAGATACTTCAGCCCAGCCTTTTGCTAGCATCTAAAGATGCCAGGCCCTGAGACTGGTACTTGGCTCAGGAGGATTTGTGTGCTGTGAGATATCATCAATAAAAGCCACCTGCACACCTGGAACTTCCATAGCTTCCACTGCTTCATCTCCAGGCCTGGCGGACTGTGGGAGCCCATTTTCGGGTTCCTCGTGGCTTTACTCAGCAGATCTGCATAGAGAGGATGATTGGACCACGGGCCTGAGTACCAGGTGTCTGAGATGGTCTGCACTTGGCTGTTCTGGAGGGAGGAGGTCTTTGGCTCCACCCCTTGGAGTCTCTATAAATACCCTGGGGCAGAGACAGTTAGGGCCCGTTGGAATAGGTTCCAGGCCTTCTCAAGGCTGTTCTGTATTTTCTGTTTATCTCCACAATCTAAATCCTTCTAATATTTCCTGCTGCTCGCACTTAAGAAAACTCCGGGGAACTGTGGGGTTGGTGGGTAAACACCCCGCAGTGGACATCCTGTCTTTGCAGGATCCCTGTCCCCAGCCACCCTCAGGCTGGGGACCATCAATTCTCCCAGCCCTCATACCCTGCTGGCCTTAAGGGCTCTCATGAAACACTTGTTCCAAATGGAGAGGGTCTGTCCCAGCCCAAGAGGAACTAGAATTTAAGCATTGCAACAGAATTTTCAAAGTATACAAAATTAGCAAGAAGCCTTTTATTTTTCTTGTTCCTAACTAATCTTACCAAAAACTGCTCAGAATAGTGCCAAGCACCTTGGGTGCTGTAGCCTGTGGTTAAGTGAAGCGCAGGGACAGCAGTGTCGTGAGGAGCAGCTGGGACTGGCAGTGGTTCTGTGGTGAGGAGCTGAGAGCTGGGAGCCTGTGCGGTGCCTAGGTGTTTGCTGCAGGTTCTAGGCTGTCTCGGTGGCATCTATTTAAAGCTGTGCAGTGACAGGCAGAGGAAGCGATATGTAAGTGCCTGAGCACTTAGTGCAGAAGAAGAGCAAGAGTAGAGATGGAGACCAGGGAAAGGATAAAACAGTTGCACATGGGGGTGACATCAATCCAGCTATACATCCGCCACACTGACTGAGGGGGCCTCAGCAGGCCAATGACAAGTCAGACCCACAACGGACAGAAAGCAAGATGAACATGAAGGAAGCATGACATGACCCATCTCCAGGTCCCTCTTACTCTACCCACCCCATGTACCTCACGCTGTGAGGCATCTCAAGACCTGGAGTGTGTGACTTTGGTCTATCTCTGCCAGAACACCCAGGCCATGTTCAGCCCCATCATGCTCTCTCCCTGTCGTTCTGACCCCTCATCTGACAGGCACCATGGAGTCACATCTTAATGACCTCAAAGGGTTTGGGGTTGTTCTTTGTTTATTTTTCTGAGTCACAATTTTTTTTTGGGGGGAAGGGTTTCTTTGTGTAGCCCTGGCCATCCTGGAACTCACTCTGTAGACCACGCTGGCCTCGAACTTGTAGAGATCTGCCTGCCTCTGCCTCCTGAGTGCACCACCATGCCCAGTGAGTCATGAGTCTTACACTTGCACATCTTCAAAGAGTCTCAGGACTTTTCAAATAACTGGGCCGGTGAGAAGGGGGTGGTTCTAAGGGCAGTGTTCTGGAAGGAGCTGTGCAATGGCAGTCTGGCAGGGAAGTCAATAGTTCTGCAGGTTGAGCTCACATTGAAGTCCAAGGTCTCAGCCCCCAGCCTCACCACATCACATAGGACCTGGGGTCTGGGGGGCTCAGTTAGAATCCCTGGGGTGGGAACAACAAAACAAACACCCTTGGGTGTTGGCCACATCCATCATGACATTAGAAGTTTTGCAGCCCTGGGCTTGGAGGTTCTAAGCAGAGATCGCTTATATCCCAGAGCAAACCTTCCAGCCTGGGCCTCTGTCTGCAGAAGAGGGGGCCTGTCTGCCCCAGGCCCTGTAATGTAGCTTCCCAAAGCAACTGCATCTCACATAGGGAACCCACAATGATCTAGCCTTGAGCTGGGGGTAACATCCGCCTATCTAGACAAACAGCCTCAACCTGGCCTAGAGCCCTAGGGGCAGTCACTGTCCATGCCCATGCAGCTCTGTATGGGCAACTCCGGGTATCCCTAAAAGGTGCCTGCCAGGGGTGGGCAGTTTGTATACACAGCAAGCCCCACCCCTATACTTTGCAACCAGATACATCTTAGTGTTTCCCTGGCCTAGGGTCTGCCTTTCCTCCAAGTGGGAGCATCCAGCTCTACACATCTACACATGGATTGACAGAGATGTCCTAAACGGCTGGCAGTGGTCCAGGAGACAGCAGGCACTGGGGCTACTATTCATCCCAAGCCTCTGCCTGAAGCACACATTTGCTAACTGGGATGCAAAACAGGACCATGGCCTTGACTTTTGCATGGCTGAAGGCACTCCTCCCTCACAGACTCAGGGATGTTCTCAAAGACTGTAGGGCAAGTGAGTTCTCCCTTCACCAGGGAAACTGAGGCACAGGCCCATGTTAAGAGCTCACAGCAGCAAGGCACAAGCCTGGACTTTGAAAGTAAACTTCTTAGGACCTCCATCATCCCCTCAGGTTAGACTGCTGGGGTAGCGATACCTTTGGGTGGTACTTACACTGACTCTCCATCTTGAGGTCCCAAGGAAGCCACAAAGGGCAACCAGGCTAGGACAGCCCTCCCCACCCCACCCCCACTCCAAAGCAGCACCTCTGGTCCCTGCTGTGCTCACTCTCCTCAGGTGGAGTCCTAGCAACCAAGAGAGGCCAAACTCCAGGCCTAGGCAGGGTCCTGGACTCAACACGATCAGCACATAGCATTGGTACAAGCAGATGGTGAGGCTGCATTGCTGACTTGCAGAGGCTGGCTCAGCAGTCCTCAGGAAGCCCTAGTTGGAGGCACTGCCCTATCTCTCTGCTAACACTTCACCTGAAAAACATTGAGGTTTCCCAAGTCATGTGAGAAGATGGAATCTCACCCACTACGGTACAATGAAGACACTGTGGTGGCATAAACCTTTTTTCCCCAGGATTCAAGAAGCAGAGGTCAGCCTGATATACATAGCAAGTACCAAACCAGCCAGGGCTACATTAGACCCGATAAAAGAAAAAAGGGGGTGGGGGATGGGGGAGGGTTGCCTGAAGAGATGGCCCAGTGGTTAAGGGCAATTGCTGCTCTTCTAGATGACTCAAGTTTGGTTCCTAGCACCCACCTAGGAGGTCACATCCATCTGTAACTCCAGTTCCAGGACATCCAATGCCTTCTTTGGCCTCTGCAGGTATGTGTTGCAATCTACACATGCAGCACGAACATTCATATACATAAACCAAACCCTACAGAAGTCCTCACCATAGCATATGTTGGTGGTAGAGCATGGGGAGCCATGTGGGGGCAGTCAGGACTGTCAAGCTCGCTCCAGTCCCTACAGGATAGGCTTCAGCAATTTGGCCCAGTGAGTCCTGTTACCCCAGTGTCCAGACATCAAACAAGGGCTGCCTTCCAATAGCCCCTCAACTGAGGACTGCATCTTCCCTGACTGTTTGAACCTAGAGAATTCCGATTCCTGTTGTCCTCTGCAATTAGTAAATCCACTTCACTTATCTCATCCTGACGCTCCATCTTATCAGACCCAGACCAGTCAGCAACTGGAACATTCAGCCGGCTTTGTGATCTTCGTTACAGGTGAACCTCTGAAGTACAACAGGGCCATCACCAACCCTGGTAGCAGTCAGTGTAGACCAAGCTCTCTGTCCCTGTAGAAGCCACCATCTTGTCCATCACCTGCTCTGCCCACGACCACTGAGACCTTCCTGGTTGCTCATCTGTACACCTCAGGGTCTCACGATATAACCCAGGCTGGCTGTGAGTTTATGATCCTCCTGCCTCGGTCCCTAGAGTGCTCGGTTTAGGAAGTTGTGTTTCCTATCTAACACATACTACTGTGCTCTTTGGGTAGTTTCCAGTATTTCACCACAGAAAAAAATGGGAGGAAAATCATGTGAGGTCAGCTCTCCAAGGAGAAGCCTTGCTGAGATGACATTTGCCATGGCAAAGTATACCCCAAATTCCTATGTTCAGGCCCTAAGCCCCAGAACCTTAGACTATGACTGGGTTTGGTGTAAGGTTTTGAAAGACGAGAACCAAGGAGATGAGGTCATGGGGGATCCCATCTCACTGGTGTTCTTCTAAGTGGTCAAGACAGATACAGAAGGACACAGGGTAGAGACGGTCCACAAGCTGAGGAAAGTGGGCAAAGGAGCCTGTCCTGACACCCCTTCCTTACCTCAGGCCTCTAGCCTCCAGGACTGTGCAAGGCAAATGCTCCTGGAGCTCCGGTTACAGAACTCGGCTTTCTCTCAGCATAAACATTACAAAATGTCAGCAAAACATTCTGACAATGTGTAGAAAGGATAGAACTGGGTTCATTCATGCCACAAAACAGGTTTGTCTAAACACCAGGAAGAAGTAACAGTAAGAAGACTCACCATCATTTCAGTGGGATAAAATGCATCCTATAAAACCTGGCCTAATGCCAGGAACCGACAAACAGGAATACCATAGTAGGACCAGGAGGATGCCCAGCACGTGGGTAGGAGCTGCACCATGACAAGGGGGCAGGAAGACAACCAGAGCCCTAAGGACTGTAGAGCAGAGACAAAACAAACAACAACAACAAATTCTCTTCACCGAATGTTAAGAGTTCAAGTGCATCTATCAACTGTAGGAATTAGTTGAGTTGAGCAAGACTGCTCATGACAAGTTAGACAGGAAAGTCTTGCATGTATATGCTGCCTGCATTGGATGCTATTAGCAGGAGAGTGGAATTACAGATAGAAGCTCCCAGCACTCTCACAGCAAGCCCAGCTGAGGCACCGGCCCTGGCAGGGCTCACCTGGAAGACCCAGGCACCAGCATCCTACAGCCTTCTCAAGAGCTTTGTTATCTGTGGTCTCAATTCCTCTGCCCATATGGAACATAACTCTCTGGGTGGGGCCCTCACCGAACCTACCCACAGACCAAGGGCCACAAGGAAGAGGTACAAAGTCACGGAGTAGCAAACACAGACTCTTACACCATCCCCAGCCCAAAGTCAACCCCAGGTGTATGACAGGCGGGAAACCAACAAGCC